TTGATCGAATTAAATTCCACTTTAGCACGGCAGTAGCTCGACTTGGTTTCCAACGTCGTGCTACCGCCGTGCCGAACTCAATTCGTAAATTATAAATACGTTAGAATACATTTAAAAGTTTGCTAAACCGTTTCTTTGTTTTTGTGTTTTGTTTTTGGCAACCGCCGTTCCATTCGACTGAATTAAATTCGACGTCTGAAACCAAGTCGTGCAGGTGTCGTGCTGCAGTCGAGCTACAGTCGAGGCAGCTTAGCACGGCAGTAGCACGACGAATTTGAAACAGGCCTTAATGGGAACTAAACTAAACCCACGTTAAACTTACCACGGCTTCGTTAACGTGGGAAGAGCCTTTTACCGTGGTTTGTGTAACCGCATCTATTGCCTGAGGCTTATCATACGCGCAGAAGAAAGGTTACCCCAATCCTACGCCCCTGGCGTAACTGCGATTTCTTTCTGTTTCTTATCTGCAGCTGAGCTATGCCGACATCACTTTCTTTGACTTCTTTAACAGCTTCCATTCGAAGGGTAAAGAGGATGTTCCTGGGGAACTTGAGAAGTTCCCGCTCTTGGTGGAGCATTATAAACGGGTGTTAAACGTGCCCGAAATAAATGAGTGGGTAAAGAATCGCCCTGTTAGCGAATTCTAAGCTTGTGGCTGCTATTGAAGCAATTGTAAAGCGAGAGATAGGCCTAAAACATAGATAAAGAACACTTTAAAATAAAGAACACTTTAAAAGGTTTATATTTTTATTGATGTGATTTGTTTAATGTGCCGATATACCCCGGCCTCTAAGGGAACTCAAAGGTAAACTTGAGTAAGGGTTTTTATATGTGTCGCCGAGACCTTCAAACCCTGACCCGGTTTAGGACAAAAATCATTTCATTTCGCTACCCTGTTTAAGACAAGAGGCCTTATTTCTTGACACACAGATTCCGCATACAGCAGTAGGTAATTTAGTATTAGTATATAACTCTGCAGTATGGGGTGGGAAAATTGACCAACTGAAGTGGATTAATGGGGACATGACCGACATGACCCTGCGGAAAGGCTACTATATTCTCCCAATTCTATAAATACTTTCTTGGTTTAAATAAACGAGCTTCTTATGTTTGTTGCGGTAGATTGATTCAATATCCTAGGCAACTCAGCTGGAAAAACTATAATCTGACATATTTTTCATGTGGAATATTTGATTCGTAATTCTTTCCTCTACGTAAAATTTCCGGCAAAATATTTGCTTTGACACGTACTGTAATTATAGTCTATATAAATCAGTATACTTCCTCATGAGTATATAAAAAGAATTAGCAAATACAGGGAAACACTCCTCCATCTCTTCCGCAAATCAAATTTGTTCTCAGTTTAACCAAAAAGGATCTAAAACGACTAAACTCGACAAATAGGTAAATTAGAGATAACTGACCAAAAATATCATTGAAGTATAAAGTAAAACCAAATCAATTCCATCCAACTATCTTTTTCTGAAGAAAGACACTGATGGAATCAGTCTTTTTACCTATCTAGACTTTATAAAAAAAAATCAAACCACCAACGAGCGACGGCAAGATTAAAGACAAATAATCATAAACTAATAATAGAATATGAAGATACTGCTCGCCCAAAATGCCTGAACATTTTATATATATGAGAATATGCAAATATTGTTCTCTTAGTGAAAAGTACAGGAAACACTTCATACTCTCTCTTTTGCTTCCTTTATCTTAAAGAACAACACTTTGTCTTTTATCCTATAGGTAACAAATATCGATCCTCAGTTGAATCATTCTTTGATCTGTGAACTGATATGATACTCTTCCTCTTAACAGCGGAGCTCCACGCGCGCTCGAAGCGCTCGCAATAGACCTTTTTACCGATACGGCGGCCATATTGAATTAATTCGATTTAAGGGGTATTATAGGATGCCCAGGAGGCATGAGCACATTTCGTTGGTATTTTCAAGCGCTTTTCGGGACATTTTTTCTTAAAGTTTTCTTAGAATGAGATTGTAAAAGGAAAAAAAATCCTTGTGCCGTGTTTGGATGTAATAATGATCGCCTTTTTCTTGTTTAGTATTAGAAATATGGTCTTTCACTGTATATTTCTCGGGAAAAAGGATGATACATGGTCCATAACAGGTAACAAGTAGCAGAAGTAGATCATATAGATCATGTAGATCATATAAGTAGAAATTTGCTACGTAATTATTGTAAACCAATCTGATTTCAGTGGTCCCCTTTAATCTGCACTTCGATTGTTTTCAGGGATAGGGGCATTGTTATGTGACAATCCCTATTGTTTTCCCAGCTAATCACAAACAATCTTTCAAATAGGTGCGGGATCGCCCCCTTCATTGTAATTATCTCCTCTTTTAAATAAATGTAACGAGTATTGTAATCGGCAGTGCCATCTATTCATATGAAAATGCCAAAACTATTGAATTGAATTAGACCCTGTTTACATGGAGTGGGGGACCCCGGTCTAGTGTGGTAAGTTTCTTTTGTTTTCACGCTCTGGGGGACACAAAACAAAAGAAACTTACCCCACTAGACCGGGGTCCCCCACTCCATGTAAACAGGCCCTTAGTTTGTGGCGGTAAATTGATTCAACATTCTGGCAACTCAGCTGATAAATCTATAATCCTGATATATTTTTCAGATTGAATATTTAACTCGCACTGCTTTCCTCTACTAGAATTTCCGGCAAAATGTTTGCCTGCACGTACAGTACACTGTAGTACTTTCTTTGAGTGGCCCGTTGCGTGAAATGACGCGTACGACTTGGTGAAATATACAAAATTCTAATTTTAACACTTGACAGGTGATATAAAAGGTCAGCAATGAGTTAGCAGTTCATTGAACTTCAGCGGCTGTTGTGTTGAAGTTGTGCACTCAGAGTATAAGATTCGACTGAAACATTCTGCATAAATGTCTGGCTACAAGTTGTTCTACTTTCCAAGCCGCGCTGGAGGAGAAAAATGTCGACTTGCATTCGCGGCTGCAAAGATTGACTACGAGGATATTCGAGTCCCAGTCGAAGAATGGCCGAAAGAGAAAGCTTGTAAGTAACATAAACGTTCACCCGACAATTCCGTAAAGCGTGCGACGGTTAATTTTCGATTCTTTTGAATTTGGTAATCTTAAATAGCTGTTTAAAACGGAGTGCGATCAAAGCCGACGGCAAATACACATACATTCGCTTGATTTTCGATCGGGTCGCGAAATGCTGGATTGGTAACTGATCGCATGATTGAACTAAAATTGCTGACTCACGCTGAACAGGTGTGCTCACTCTTTTTAATGGTTACCGCCGAACACAAATAGTATCATTGATTTTATTATTATTATTATTATTATTGTTATTATTATTATTTCATGTACACTGAATTAACCTTACGATTTCTGGGTTTCGAAGACTGCTACGAAAGAAGGTTGGTCGTTAAAGAATAAGAGTTACATTTTTAACATCGACGAGCTCCTGTAATCTACATTACTTATAGCTTCTGTGGCGGGAAACTTACTCGTTTTCCGGGAATGAGCCTGGCTTTGTAAGTAAAATAATTTCAACTTACAATTCAAATATTCTCCTGGTTTTAATTCCTTACCCGGTTGGTATTGTAACTTTGAACCTTCTGATTGTTTATTCTTCACATGAACTCAAGGATCAGAATATAATACGGAAACGCCAATCATGTTCTCAAGAGACCCTCCAAGAAATGAAATTTTCAAGTGACGGCGATGACCCAATGGGCGCAAAAATAAAAACTCAAAAATCCGTAGGGCTTCCAACAAAACCCTGAAAAACTACCTGGACAGAAAATTAACCCCCTAAAACTCCCATGCCGAATTCACGCGCCTTTAAAATCACCAGAAGGCATTAAATGATACAATACAAAGAATAAAAATATTGAAAATTGAATGTTTGTGTCTGTTTCGATAGCTCTTCATAGCAACATTCGAGACAACCAAGAACGTAAATTAACATCTCCTGTTTTAACAATAACACTAGACAGAATAACAACTTCAGATAGTTTTGAATACCCCTAAAATCTACACTTAAATCAAGCCACAAAAAACTACTTGCCAAATTATCCTACCCAAAAAATCCTGGAATCGAAAATCTCAACCCCCGCCCCTCCCCAAAAAAATTCCTTCCATCACCCCCGTCACTTGAAATCAGAAGTACTCCCCCCCCCGCCCGAGCGTCCAACGCGCTCCTTCCTCGCAATGTGGGCGCGTTTGTACAGAAGGAACGTGTGACGAAGTCCTTTAAGTTTGGTACTGTGAGGGTAGCGCAAGCACGCGCTATCGTTGAACGCGAACGCAACAAACAAGGGTCCGTCGAAAGCGCGTGGTCATTTTTCCGTTTCGCTCGACGGACGAGGAAAAAAGAGAGACTGCTCGTGGTCTAGGTTTGGCTAAATGATCGTAAAAATCTGATGCGTCTCGGCTGGGACTATCTTATAAATCCCAAAACTGAAAAAAATTATCGAAATTCGAATTTTGGGCGCGGTCGGGCTGGTCGCAAAATGTTAATGTCCGTCAGATTATACTTCTAGGGGAATTAACCTCTCATGCGTTTTATACATGAGCCTCCGGCTCGGATATTTGGGGCAACCCTATCCCACGTTCTTACACTAATAAATTGATTAAATTAGATTGGATTGGATTATATTGTATTGAATATTGTACCCATAAACCCCTCCTGGGGTGGAGCGTTGCGTGACGGATGCCATCGTTTACTGCTTCTGCGGCCTTGTCGCAAGCTTGATAAACGTCGCGCCCCACCCTTGAAAAAGACTATTTTAAGAGACAGCTCACAAGCTGCAGTCTGGTATCGAATACACGTTGTTATGATCAGCGTTGCAGTAGTCTTTGGACTTCTCGTTTTATGTTCATCGAATTAAGAACCCAGGGGAAGAATTCCCTATAATGGCCTAGACGGTGAAGTCTCATCCAAAAGGGATACCTTTTCAGGTTTCAGGTATATGAAAGGGTAGGGAAATCTATCATTTCGGTCTGTAAAAGGACCTTAAGGTCTAACAGACGCATTTTATGGCTTTGGAAGCGACAAGAAAACTTCCTGGTTTAGTGATATATTCACATATAAACAAATGGCGCATTTACAGAAGTTCGTAAAAGATGCAGGGGTACCATTTATCATTCAAATTGAAAGGCATGCCTTTTCTGTGAAAAATAATTTATGTAAGGATGAGGTGTTGGACCTTGGGGTGAAGCCTCCCCGTATATGACTTCATTGAATGCTCTTCCCTCCACCGGGATTTAGCATAACCAGGGCTGCCATTGACTTCTCTTTAGAAGAAACCCCGACGTTCTAAAACTTTTCTGTCTGTTCTGTTTCAGCTGGCAGACCACCTCTTGGTCAAATGCCCTTCATTGTGACCCCTGAGGGAAAAACCCTGGCACAGTCTGGTGCAATCATGAAGTACATCTGCAAAAAAGGAGGTGATGTATTGAACGTAATTTGTTGATCAGCTTATCATTCCTGCCGTAGCCTACACGCGAGCCGTGAGAGACCGCGTGAGCGCGCGGCCCACCCCTCGCGCCCTTGTCTCCTCTTGCGTGTTGTTCTCGCGTGACTTTTCGCCCAAAAGGAGAACTGGCTCCCAGGCTACTCCTGCTCATTAGCCTCCCGAGTAGATGTTTTTGGAAGCTTCATCACGCGTTCTTCCCCCAACGAAAGCAAAGCCCTAAGAAGGTCTACGTAAGAGGCTACCTGTCGATATAGTTTATACAAGTTTATTTTCAAGTTTTTTTTTTCTCCCCATTCCATTCATTCATTCATTCATCCATCCATCCATCCATCCATCCATCCATCCATCCATCCATCCATCCATCCATCCATCCATTCATTCATTCATTCATTCATTCATCCATCAAACAGCCCTTCCGTCCGTCGTTCGCTCAGTCGTTCATCATTCTTCTATTCTCCCTTTTTTTCTTTCTCTTTCTCTTTTCTTTTCTCTTATTCCTTATCTCTGACTGTGTCTTTTTTTCTCCTTTTCATTCTCTCTTTCTTACCCTTCCTTTTTTTCCTTTCTCACTTTCTTTTTTTCTTCTTGCTTTTTATTAGTTAAGAAGGCGAATGCTTGATTAGCTTTCATTTTTACTTATGGTGATTAGGTTTGTGCCCAGCTGACAGTTTTGATGAAGCGACAGCGGATATGATAAGTGATGGAGTTACTGATTTATTTCAGCCATTGAGCAACATGTACCATGAGAAAGATGAAACGAAGAAGGTATTGCAAAAGTTGATGTCCGTTTCAGTTCCCACATACAGTGTAGTCAGGCTTTACTCCGGACTGCAATTCAGTCGGTCTTTTTCATAAGATCGTCTTTGCAAAGTGCTTCGCACGATATTCGGGAGTTTCAGCAAAGACGTTTTTGAGCGACGCCCGTCAACCGGAAGTGAACTTTTTGTAATGTTGGGTCGTGATTTTGAACAAATTTTCTATCAGATCGTCTTTATCAGAATGAAGACACTGAGCTACCGCTCGCGCTCGCGCGTTCTTAATCTAGGAAAAAATACGGGCTGTTTTGCAGTCTAGATTTCCCTCAGCGGCATAAAATTCTGAATTTGCAAACATTGAGAATTGAACAAGGTCTGGAAGGGTATTTTCGGGATCCGGGATTTGATCAAAATACGGTGCGCGATTAGGGAAAACGCAAAATTTCTTGACGGGAAACAAGATTTTACAGCTACCCTGGAAGAGGGATACGCCAAAATTTAAGCAGGGGATGCGGAATGTTTTTGCCCGTATGTTGTGAATTCGGGAGATCAAACGTTTGAGCGGCAAACTGCGAATCAACCGGGCACATTTTGAGTGTTGTCTCCTTTTAGACCAAACTGTAAATTGTGCCTTGTTTGTTTGTTTGTTTTTTGTTTATAGAAACAAAAGAGGAATTCGGGAAAGCGATAGGGAAAAAAAATAGCGGGATGCGGGATTTTCTACCCCCTTTCAGCCTCTTGCAGACCGTGACTAAAGTAAAATACTTGGCTAAAAGAACGTGTTTCACATAATCGCATTCGCGTCGGGCATGAAAAGGTATAAAGAAGGCATATAAATTGAAGCCAGAGCAGTATGGGGTAGTTACTACTTCGTTAGTTGTCTCTGTTCTAAGGAAACGCCTTAAATTGGTTTTCAAAGTAGTCATTCAGCACATACATTAATAAACGTTTTACCCACAAAAAATGATATATTTCTAATATAACGCTTGAGAAGCAAGAATGAAACTAGTTTTAGCGGCGGGTATAAAACACACATAGAGGTTATCGATCCAAATTTATACAATGATGTGAATGCTACGCGCGCTGTGATTGGTCGTTGCTCCGTGTACAATCCCGTAGGTTTTACTCCAAATTCTATTTCCTAGAACTTTTTGGTTAGTGATATATGATTTGTTTTGCTTTAAAAATAAAGGAGGAGATAAGGAAGGAGTTTTATGGGACGACGCTTCCTGCCCGACTCGAGAAATTTGAAGCTCTTCTCAAAAACAGGGATGAAGGCAAGGGCTTCTTCCTGGGCGAAAAGGTAAGATTAGAAGAAAGCCCAAAGCGTACCAGAGGGATTAGGCCTGTTTAGAACACTAACGAGTATAGTAATTAAGTCATAAATAAAACGATGATAGCCTTCGAATTCAGCCGTATCCCCTCGTTCTAGCCACTAGGGACGCCCCAAGCGGCGATCAGCCATTGTTTTTGTTTTGATTTTCAAAGCCGGCGCTTTTCGCTACTAGTGGGCTATAACATATAGCCTAGTAGTAGCTCAACCAATCAGAACGCAGCATTGATAATAGACCACACTAGCTGGATTTTAATACGACACTATAGCAGCTCAGATGGCCACCACGAAAAAGTATCCGGTATAGTGTAAGCATACCGTAAAATTTTGGAAATAAGCCCCGGGGCTTATATTTTTCAAAGGCCCCTTTTGAGGGGATTATTTTTGGAGGGGCCTATATTCGGAGGGGCTTGATCTACGGAGGGAAATTTGCGTTTCAAAATTGATTGGGCTAGCCTTATATATATAGTTGGAAGTAAATTTACCGTTTTTGCTTTGTTTTACTTTGTATTTGAGGGCAATTTTCCAAGTGCAAACCCCCGGGAGGCTTATATTTGGAGGGGCGATTTAACGGAAGGTTTTTTGCGTTACCGGATTGGGGGGCTTATATTTGGAGGGGCCTATTTTCGGAATTTTACGGTAGCCTATTACATTATGTGCGGTTACACGGGACACTTTTTATTTACCGTGGCAAATGACCCTTTCACCGTGGGAAATTGCCTCGGTGCGTGTGACCGGACTTTCCCGAGATACATTTACCATGGGAAATATCCATGGTTACGTCAAAAAGAGCAAAGAAACCGCCCATGACATTAAACTTAGTAAAAAGCTAGGGTTTTCGATACCCAAGCAAAACAACCATCAGGTTTCTTCAAAAGGAAACCGCAAAAAATTGCTTTTTTAAACTCGTTTCTTTCGCACCTGTAGAGAGAAAGATCGATGGTGACATGGCAGATATCATGGCAAAATTTTGAACTGGTTCGTTGAAATAAATATAGAAACGATATTTCCCAAAAATATGTTCGATTCCTGGTATCGAACAGTCGGATGCAGCTGAACTATAAAATCGAACTATGTACCTTTGCTAAATTATCATGATAACATACCAGTTCAAATTTCAGCTGTAAAATTATGCGTAAATTTTCATCATAACATAAAATACTACCATTGTCGACGGCGATTATTACCGTAACTACGCGAAAGAAGCCACAAACTGATAGCAGCTTGTCGTGCTACTGCCGTGCCGAACTCAATTGATCGAATTAAATTCCACTTTAGCACGGCAGTAGCGCGACTTGGTTTCAACGCGTCGTGCTACCGCCGTGCCGAACTCAATTCGTAAATTATAAATACATTAGAATACATTTAAAAGTTTGCAAAACCGTTTCTTTGTTTTTGTGTTTTGTTTTTGGCAACCGCCGTTCCATTCGACTGAATTAAATTCGACGTCTGAAACCAAGTCGTGCTAGGGTAGTGCTGCAGTCGAGCTACAGTCGAGGCAGCTTAGCACGGCAGTAGCACGACGAATTTGAAACAGGCCTTAATGGGAACTCTAAACTAAACCCACGTTAAATTTACCACGGCTTCGTTCACGTGGGAAGAGCCTTTTACCATGGTTTGTGTAACCGCATCTATTGCCTGGGGCTTATCATACACGCAGAAGAAAGGTTACCCCAATCCTACGCCCCTGGCGTAACTGCGATTTCTTTCTGTTTCTTATCTGCAGCTGAGCTATGCCGACATCACTTTCTTTGACTTCTTTAACAACTTTCTTTCGAAGGGTAAAGAGGATGTTCCTGAGGAACTTGAGAAGTTCCCGCTCTTGGTGGAGCATTATAAACGGGTGTTAAACGTGCCCGAAATAAATGAGTGGGTAAAGAAACGCCCTGTTAGCGAATTCTAAGCTTGTGGTTGCTATTGAAGCAATTGTAAAGCAAGAGATAGGCCTAAAACATCGATTTTAGCGTGTGCGGTAGTTGAACGACTCCGTGCGTCACCGTTGGTTTTAGGTGCAAAGGAATAAAGAACAGTTTAAAAGGTTTATTTTTTTTATTGATCTAATTTGTTTAATGTGCCGATGTACCCTGGCTTCTAAGGGAACTCAAAGGTAAACTTGAGTAAGGGTTTTTATATATGCCGCCGAGACCTTCAAACCCTGACCCTGTTTAAGACAAAAATCATTTCATCTCGCTACCCTGTTTAAGACAGGACGCCTTATTTCATGACACACTGATTTCGCATACAGCAGTAAGTAATCTTTTAAACCAACATCTTGGAATTATTATTGGAAAAAATAGTTGGTACCGGATCATTGCCATTACCTTCACACTTTTTTTAAAGCCTTTCGGTCCAAAAAGACAACCTGGTCAAGACGCTTAATAGTAAAATTTAAAACTCTCAAGGCCCCAAAAGCCGCCATACCCTGTTTAGCGGCACGTTCCCCTTTAGGGAAACTATGGGAATGCCCCTACCCCCGTGGGAAGGGAGGAGACGAAATTCTTAATAGTGATCCCCTTCCTTTCTCGTCCTTTTCCTTTGCTAATAATTGCTGTTTTTAAAGTATTGTTTCCTTTAAGAGAGAACTATGTAAGTGTACAGATGACATCCCTAGCTGTGGATCCCTTTCCCCTATTTGCGTGACTTGACACGGGTAAACAGTTTAAGGCTGCCACGAAAATCGTACCGGATAGGAGGGCTTCTGCTCACGAAGAAGGGTGATCTCAACTCGTGCATGGTCTGCGAGGCTTTGAAGGTTAGAGAGAATTCAGGAATTGTGTGTAAACGAAATCAAAATGCTGTACTAGTGTGCCGTTTCATACATTGTCGGCTTCTCATCAGCGATGAAAATATATCCAGCCGGATTTTTAAAAACGTTACCTATTCTGTCAAACCATAGCCAAAGAGTAGCCAATATAAAAACTAAGAATGCTTCCATTGTTGTTTCTCTTCTCCTTTCTTCCTCCTCGTTCCTTCCTTTGCTAGTATGACTTTTGAGCTTATCGAGCGCAAAAAACCTGCCATTTTGGGCCTTTTTCACTCAATGACTGCAAATTTCGTTAGGTTCGTTTTCAAAAAATCGACTGGAAATACTATCTACAAAAGATTCCACACCCAAGAAATCCTGTTCATCGTAATGTAGTTCGATGAACAGGAAAATTGTAAAATGATTAAAATGTTATATAATTTCGGGAAAAAAACCTGATTTATCTTCTTTGTACAAAAACAAACAAACTTGCCATCTCACTTCGTCTACTCATTGTTTCAGAGTCAAAGAGGAGGTCGCCATCTGCTTGACTCGTTTCACTCGCTTTGCACGCATTGAGAACCGTTTTATTTTTCCCCGGGAAAACTAGTTCCGCGAGGATTCTAGGAACGAGAAACCAATGTATTGCAATAGAAGCCATGATCATCAACCACAAATGGGGTAAATTGCTACAATTTGTGGTCAAGACTAGGCAAGAATGGACCATTCTACAGGTGCTAGCCTTGGAAAGGTTTCATTCCTCGTTCTTTCCCTTTTTTTTTGGACAAACTTAGCCGCAAATATAGCTGTAAATCGCTGGAATGTTGACCATCTTTTATGCTGTGTGCGACCACGTTCAGCAAGTTGGCCTCAAATATTTTACAGGTAAGCTTAGGGACCGGTCATTATTTATGTAGAGGGGGTGGGGAAGGGAAACATAGAAGGGGGGGTCAAGGCTATTTCAGATTGTCTAGATGGGGAGGTTAACCTTTTTTTATAAAGAAGTTTAGGGGGGTCTGTTCTCTTATAACAGAGCTAAATTTTACGCAAAATGACCTGTGCGCAACTTCGGACAAAAACACAAATTTCTTTATCTCGAAAAAATAATATGCTACATTGTACATATGTATGTAAAGTTGGGATTGCAAATTCTTTATGCAGTAGAACAGTTTAGTTCACTATTGTTCAAAGTAACTTGCGCTTATGCAGTCGAATCACTTGAAGCTCAAAGCTGTTCCATTGTAATAGTTTTTTGCTGTCTGTTCCAATTAATTTCGCGTTTTCTTGCAACACAACATTTCCACTCTGCTCTAGGTTTTATGGCATCCCAGTGAAGTTTACTTTTTTGCTCGCCGCGCAAAGCTCTGAGGAAAGAATGCTTGCCGCTCGTGGTCTAGTGTCCGTAAAGCGGGATTCGACTTACTTTTTTAGGCTTACATGAGTCAAGGACAGCGGACTTGGGCTTGAGTTAAATGACATGTCAGGTTAACAAATTTAGCTGATATGATCCATGAAGAAGATGCTATTGATTTGTGAGAACCAGTACTCTATTTCCATACTATGAAGAGGACGAAGTGAAAAAGGTAAAGTATCACATCATCTGCCATAAACGTCATATCTCACCATAGTGTCGCTGCCGGCGCTAATGCAAGAGAAAGAAAGAGTAAACTAATTGATACGAATTTGAAATGGTTTAAAGAAACCCTTGAGGGCGTTGTAATCAGAGTAATGATGACATAATTTCTGCCCATGTATGTCGCGTTCGTGACTCTCGTTTGCTTGCTTTAAAAACGGGGATGGATATTAGAGGCCAGGTCTGAAAAAGGGTTGGAAAAAGACACTTCTTCTGGTCCCTTCTGGCAGCACACCTGTCAAATGATTTACTAACAGTAACCGCCGGGAATTGTAGGTTTCTAAATTCTTCAGTGCACGAGAGAGGTTTCAAAAAGCAATTGTAAACCGTATATTTAGGACATTAGGCCAGCTTCAAAATCACTCTCTAAGGAAGTTAATCAATTGATGTAGTTAAGTAACGTTTCCGCCAAACGTGTCGAGCGGACAGACTCCCTCGATCGTTCAACCCCGCAGAGGGGTTTATAATAGCGCTCACTTTTGGTAGAAAAAGTGTAGACGCAGTGTTTTTGTAACAAAAAGCTTTCTTGACTTATCGACTGATATAGGCAGCAAACGTTTCACCACACTATTTAAACCTATGATTATTATATAACTCTGAAGTATGGAGTGGGAAAATTGACCAACTGAAGTGGATTAATGGGGACACGACCGACATGACCCTGCTAAAAGGCTGCTATATTCTCCAAATTCTACAAATACTTTCTTGGTTTAAATAAACGAGCTTCTAATGTTTGTTTCGGTAGATTGATTCAATATCCTAGGCAACTCAGCTGAAAAAACTATAGTCCTGATATATTATAGCCTATATAAAAGCAGAATACTTCCTCATGAGTATATAAAAAGAATCGGCAAATACAGGGAAACACTCCTCCATGTTTTCCGCAAATCAAATTTGTTCTCAGTTTAACAAAAAGGATCAAAAACGACTAAACTCGACAAACAGGTAAATTAGGGATAACTGACTAAAAATATCATTGAAGTAAAAAGTAAATCCTGAGTAAAACCAAATCAATTCCATCGATCCAACTATCTTTTTCTGAAGAAAGACACTGATAAGAAATCTCTTAAACTATCTAAATTCAAACCAGCCACGAGCAACGGCAAAATTAAGGACAAATAGTCATGAACTAATAATAGAATATGGAGGATACTGCTCGCCCAAAATGCCTGAACATTTTATATATGTGAATATGCAAATATTGTTCTCAAAGTGAAATGGAGAACGGGAAACACTTCATACCCTCTTTATTGCTTCCTTTATCTTAAAGAACGGCACTTTATTCTACAGGTAGCAAATATCCTCATTTGAATCACTCTTTAATCTGAACTGATATGATAATCTTTCTCTTAATAGCGGAGCTCCACTTCGCGCGCGCGATCCGAGAAATATTGGTAATCACGTGACCATTCCGGAATCACACCTGTAGAAACGCGTCGCTAGTAAATGCAAATATGTCTCCTATTATTTGTAGGTGGAAATTAGTGAAACATCGTTATTGTTTTGGAGACAATAGAAGAACAAAAGATATCAGAAAGATAAAGGCAGAAAGATCTAGTTATGCGGCGTGTTGCGTGACTTTAATCAGTTGCAGCATTTCTCATAACTTTCCGCATTAAAACGTTGGAATGAAAAGTCTGAAGCTTAGCTTATAAAATCTTGATAGCCAAAATAAAAAGGGTGCCCAAAAAGGTAAGTGAAATGTCAAACTTTCTAGAGTGTGAGAGCCTGTAACCTGTGTGTAACTTGATAATGGACATCCATATTTAGGTCAACTGACAGCTGTCAAAACAAGGAATCCACGGACAAGTGTCACATGACCGTATCACAAGCTCAGGTGCCAACTAAACAGGATGAAGACTGGTATTGGCCAGTCGAAGTATTGTATACCTCAGCCTTTTCCACGTTGTTTGATCAGTCTTTGCGGTAGTCTTTTTCACTTTGTTTCTATTTTTAATAATTATATAACGGGCAACATATAGGAGAGTTAGATCATATAGATCATGTAGATCATATAACTAGAAATCTGCTATGTAATTATCTCTTCTTTTACTTAAATATAACGAGTATTGCAATCGGCAATTCCATCTATTGGGTCATCCTTGCTGTTAGAACCTGTTAAACTCACAAGTGACGTAAAACAGAGGAAACAAAGAAGTCAAACACAATAGAACGTAGAAAAACAAAAGTTACGAAACAAAGAAAAAGTTCACAGGTTCTTATACCGAGGTACCTAGCCGGTAAACCCCATCTATTCCTATGAAACCCCATGATGGCCAAAAGTTAAATTGAATTGAATTGAATTAGTTTGTGGCGGTAAATTGATTCAACATTCTGGCAACTCAGCTGATAGGTAAATCTATAATCCTGATACATTTTTCAGATGGAATATTTAACTCTCAGTCCTTTCCTCTACTAAAATTTCCGGTAAAATATTTGCCTGCACGTACAGTACACTGTAGTACAGTCGAACCCCGCTATTTCGAAGTCCCAAGGGAAATGGAAAAAAGTTCGAAATAGCGGGGTTTCGAAATAACCGGGGAAGCGTAAAATTCATAACAATGAATCATTTTTTAATAAAATACAATACAGTATGAAGAAAGGCACTGATTAAATAAAAATACAATGTCGAATGATCAGAATAGAGACAGCAGAGTTCATACATGAGAATTTCGGCCGGAAGAACAGTTCACTAACAGTGCGTTTTGGTTTTGTAATTGAATGACGCAGCTCGAATTTCTTAGCGGGACCATAGTTATTAGAGGAGACTGGTTATGAAAAGCGGCAAACATCAATGACAAAAACAAAAGTGCTGCAGTTTATGTTGGAAGCACCCTGAAAGTGCACAATCCTTTGTTTTCTGTTGGTAAATTGTAACGGAATAAATTAATGCAACGTTTTTATTGGTCAATACAATCAAAATGATAGGAATTCTTTTGAACGTTGTGCACTTTCAGGTCCACAAAAACATATAACAAAGGAGTCTGACGGGTTTCATAACCATTCCACTCAATTAACTATGGCGGGACACTGCACGTGAGTCAAGCATTGTTAAGTCATTAATTACGTATCACGAGCTTAAATAAAATGCAATACGTTTCCAGCTGTGCTCTTATGTTCGTACTCTGTTTTTGACAAGTTCGAAATAATGGGGTTGATATGAGTTCGAAATAGCGGGGAATTCGAAATAACCGAGTTCGAAATAGCTGATAGTAAATGACTGAAAACATAAGGGTAAATCCAAGGGCATTCGATCTTCCTTCGAAATAGCAGGGACTTCGAATTAACCGAGTTCGAAATAGCGGGGTTCGACTGTACTTCCTTCGAGTGGCCTGTGTGACATAATGACTAGCCTGCGTAGCATGGCGGTTTTGTCGAGCCGGGCGTAGGAGCGGCGTAGCCGCGACTCCTCGCGGTTTCTCTGCCCTCGCCCGCCTTTATTACTTAGCGCGCCCAACCAAAACCGCCATGCTGACGCAGGCTACATAATGACACGACGACTTGGTGAAATTTGCATAATTCTAAATTTAACACTTGACAGGTGATATAAAAGGTCAGCAATGAGTTAGCAGTTCATTGAACTTCAGCGGTGTTGAAGTTGTGCATCCACTCACAGTCAGAATCGACTGAAACATTCTGCAGAAATGTCTGGCTACAAGTTGTTCTACTTTCCAGTCCGCGGTGCAGGAGAAAAATGTCGACTTGCATTTGCGGCTGCAAAGATTGATTACGAGGATATTCGATTGCCAGCCGAAGAATGGCCAAAAGAGAAAGCGTGTAAGTAACGTAAACGTTCACCACATTCCTAAAAAGCGCGCGACGGTTATCTGTCGATTCTTTTTAATTCTGTAATCTTAAATATGTGTTTAAAACGGAATGCGATCAAAGCCGACGGCAAATACGCATACATTCGCTTGATTTTCGATCGGGTTTAAAGATTTTAATGATGTGCGGGTCGCGAATGCTGGATTGGTAACTGATTGAACTAAAATTGCTTAGTCACGCTGACATGTACAAGTGCGCTCACTCTTTTTTAATTGTTTCCGCCGACCACAAGTGGTTCGGAGTGGTTTCGTAGACTGCTACGAAAGAAAGTTGGTCTTTAAATAATAAGAGTGACATTTTTAAAATCGACGACCTCCTCTAATCTACATTTCTTATAGCTTCTGTGGCGGGAAAGTTACTCGTTTTCCGGGAAGGAACCTGGCTTTGAATGTAAAATAATTCAACTTACAATTAAAAAAAAAAACACTCCAGATCTGATGATCAAATTCTAGATTTTAATTGTAAAAATTTTTTGTAGTGTACTGCTTTTTAGTCTTACCAATAAAATATTATTCATTCCATAAAACTTTGCTGTAAATAGCCAAACATGTTTTGTTCTGTACAGCATGGAATTGATTGGTAAACAAGGCAGGCATACTGTATTTTTCCAGTTGAAGTTTGCATGGTGATCATACAACTGTAAATATGGTCAGGCCCATGATACAGGACTTGTTTCGACGACAAGGCTTGACATTTTTGTAAATGCTTTACAATTACAGCATATTAGTACTATTGCAGTTCCCCGAATGCTACCACTAATAATTGACTTTTGCAAATAAGAACCTACCAAGAACCTAATCAGCCTGTTTTTCTGTTGTTGTTGTTTTTCTTTTTTTAATACTCATTTATTTACAAAACACATGTTACAGTTACAAAATTTTAAAGCTAAAAGAAAGTAGATAACAATATTACAGATTGGACCAAAAATACATAAAAACGAAAAAGAATAATACAGTAGTTCACTCAATAACATTACACCTGTTAATTAACAGATTATTCCAGTAAGTTGGATTCTTACTATCTAATTGAAGGAGGGGGTTTTTCGAAATCATACAATCATACCTCCAACTAATTTTGGCCTTTAGCGACTATCCTATATATCCCAAAGAGAAAAAAATAAGGAAATTCGAATTTTTGGGCGCGGTCGGACTGGTCGCAAAATGTTCGTCAGATTATTTTTGTAAGGGAATTAACCTGTCATGCGTTTTATACTTCAGCCTCCGACTGGGATATTTGGGGCAAACCTATCCCACGTTATGACACTAATACATTTATTGTATTGTATTGTGTTGTATGGTATGGTATTTATGGTATGGTATCGTGTCGTGTCGTATCGTATCGTATTGTACCCATTAACCCCTCCTGGGAAGGAGCGTTGCGTAACGGAAGCCATCGTTTATTGCGTCTTGTGGCGTTGCTGCAAGCGTGATAAACGTCGTGCCCCACCCTTAAAAAAGAATATTTTAAGAGACAGCTCACAGTCTGCAATCTGGTATCGAATACACATTGATATGATCAGCTTTGCAGTCGTTTTTATAATGGCCTAGACGGTGAAGCCTCATCCAAAAGGAGTACCTTTTCAGGTTTCAGGTATATGAAAAGGTATGCAAATCTGTCATTTCGGCCTGTAAAAGGACGTTAAGGTCTAACAGACGCATTTTATGGCTGTAAAAGAGACAAGAAAACTTCCTGGTTTAGTGACATATTCGCCCATAAAAAATGGTGCATTTACAGCAGTTCGCAAAAGATGCAGGGGTACCATTTTTCAGTTGAAAGGGATGCCTTCTCATTCAAAAATAGTTTATGTACTGAGAATGAGGTGTTGGACCTTGGGGTGAAGCCTTGAATGTCCCCTTCCCCTCGCCTCCCCCGGTATTTAGCACAACTAGAGCTGCCATTGACCTCTCTTAGAAGAAACCCCTACGTACTACTACTTTTTTGTTTCAGCTGGTAGACCACCTCTTGGTCAAATGCCATTCATTGTGACTCCTGAGGGAAAAATCCTGGCACAGTCTGGTACAATTATGAAGTACATCTGCAAAAAAGGAGGTGATGTATTGAACGTAATTTGTTAATCAGCATATTGTTCCTGCCGTAGCCTGCGATCAAGTTCGAGCCGCAAGAGACCGCGTGAGCGAGCGGCCCACCCCTCGCGCGCGCGTCTTCTCTCCCGTGACTTTTCGCGACTACCCCAAAAGGAGAGCTGGCTCGGCGGCTACCCCTGGCCCTTGTTGTTCAAACATTGGATAGCGCTATCCAGCCGATAAGTATTGGGGAAACTAATTGCACTATCCACTGGATTATCCGATGGATAGCGCTCTCCAGCCTTTGAACAACCGAAGCCTGCTCATTAGCCTCCCACGCAGACGTTTTTTGGAGCTTTGTTACGCGTTCTTTCTCCAAACGGAAAGCGAGGCCCTAAGAGCTTCTGCGTAGGAGGCTACCTGTCGATATAGTTTATAAAAGTTTACTTTCAAGTTTATTTTTTCCCCATTCGATTCATTCAGTCATTCATTCATCCAACCATCTATCCATCTATCCATCCAACCATCCGTCCGTCCGTCCGTCCGTCCGTCCGTCCGTCCGTCCGTCCATCCATCCATCCATCCATGCATCAAACTGTCCGTTCGTTCGTTCGTTTGTTCGTTTGTTCATCATTCTTCCATTCTCTCTTTTCTTTCTTTCTTTCTTTCTTTCTTTCTTTTTCTCTTTTCTTTTCTTTTTTTCTCTTATTCCTTGTCTCCGTGTCTTTTTTTCCCCGTTTCATTCTCTCCTTCCTACTATTCCTTCTTTTCCTTTCTTTCTTTCTTTCTTTTTTCTTCTTACTTTTTATTAGTTAAGAAGGCGTTTGCTGGATTAGCTTTAATTTTTATTTATGGTCATTAGGTTTGTGCCCAGCTGACAGTTTTGATGAAGCGACAGCGGATATGATAAGTGATGGAGTCGTCGATTTATTTCAGCAATTGATCAAGACATACTATGAGAAAGACGAAACCAAGAAGGTAATGCGAAAGTTAATGTCTGTTTCAGTACCCCACATACAGAGCCTGTCAGGCTTTACTCCTGAGATTGCAAATCAGTCTGTCTTTTTCTTTAAATCGGTTTTGCAAAGCGCTTCGTGCGATATTAGGGAGTTTGAGCAACGACGTTTTTGAGCGACGCGCGTCAACCGGAAGTGAACTTTTTGCAATGTTGGGTCGTGATTTTTAACAAAGTTTCTAGCAGATCGTGTCTATCAGAATAAAGACACTGAGCAATACAAATTAGGTAGCATCGAGGTATATTAAAAGGGAAAAGGACTTACTTCCGGTGAAGTAAGTTGCTTAAACTCTCTATTTTCGAGCGACGCGCGTGGACCGTGCATGCTCCTAGGGCGTGTGTGGCGAGACTGTCCCCAGTCTCACTCTCCGTTTTCACCCTCACTCCAGGCCTATCCTTTGACCGCTCGTGCGCGCGCGTTCTTAACCTAGGCAAAAATAGGGGTTGTTTTGCAGTCTAGATTTACTCAAGACGCCAGTTCCGACCCTCAGCGCCAGACAATGCTTAATTTGCTGAGGTGAGAATTGAACAAGGTCTTAAGGGTTTTTTCGGGATCCGGGATTGACCAACATACGGTGCGGGATTCGGGAAAACGCAAAATATCTTGACGGGAAACAGGATTTTACAGCTACCCTGGAAGCGGGATTCGCCAAAATTTAAGCACGGGATGCGGGATGTTTTTGCCTGTATGTTGTAAATTTGGGAAATCATGCGTTTGAGCGGCAAATGCGAATCAACCGGACCGGTGCGTGTTGAGTATTGTCACCTTTCAAACCAAACTATAAAGTGTGAGGAATTCGGGAAAGCGATATGGAAAAAGAATAGCGGGATGCAGGATTTTCTTAAAAAACGAGCGTTTGTGTGGGATCAGGACCGCCTTTTGTACCGTGATTGACGAATTGATTGACGTAAAATACTTGTCTAAAAAAACATGTTTCACATGATTGCATTAGCGTGGCCTGAAAAAGTATAAAGAAGGCATATAAATTGAAGCCAGGACTGTGTGAGGTATACTTACAACTTCGTTAGTTGTCTCTGTTCTAAGGAAACGCTTTAAAGTTGTTTTCAAGTAGTCATTCTAAGAAGAAAGACCGTGCGTTTGGAAGTATTGGCAATAATGTTTTTTCCCAACTGTAAAAACCGCCTTGTGGCGTTGTTCAACCCCTTACCCGCGTTTAACCAGCTTTGACGGAAAAGGTACCCCTTTCGTATACCTTATATTGAAAAATCGTATCCCTTTTAACTGCTGTAAAGGCACTGTCTTTGAAAACTGCTAAATCACAAACCACAACGTTTTCTCGTTTTTTTTGAACGCCCAAAAATTTCATCTGTTTGCCCTTTTGGACCTTTTTACTTCCAAAAATGACATTCGTCTCTACCCTTCCATGTGCTTCAACTAATGAAATCCCTCCTCTTTCATAAACCTGAAGCCTGAGAAAAGCACCCCTTTCGGGCGGAGCAGGTCATTATAGGGAGTTTCCCCCCTGACCTTAAGTGGAGTCTTCCCATTGCCAGTTCATCCGTATACAGGGAGCTTCGACATGTACTTCTCAGTTTTGTTCCGTGTACAATCCTGTGGGTTTAATTTACTTTTTCCCGTTTCCCAGAATTTAGTTTCATTGATGACCTGCTTATTGTTTTCCTTAAATGAAGGAAGAGCTGAAAAAAGAGTTCTATGGAACGACGCTTCCTCCCCGACTCGAGAAATTTGAAGCTCTTCTCAAAAACAGGGATGAAGGCAAGGGCTTCTTTCTGGGCGAAAAGGTGAGATACAGTAATGCGCAAATTAAGCATAGCAAGGGGATTAGACCTGCTTAGAACACTAACGAGTATAGAGCGTTTTCACTCACGTGGTCAGCAAAACTAAAGAAATGTTTTACGTAAGAAAAGAGTTCAACTTCCACAGGACTGGTTTGGAACACCAGAAACGATCTATAGTAATTAAGTCATAAATAAAACGATGATAGCCTTCAAATTCAGCCATCTGTCATCGTTCTTGCCACTAGGGATGTCTCAAGCGGTGATCGAGAAGCGAGAAGAGACGCCTTTATCTGCAGGCTAAAACGATGACCGCTCCCTGAGCCTTCACCCCGTCCCAAAAAAAGTATTTTCAAAAAATTTTAAAATATAGCAACGTCGGCACATTTTGCATGGTACTGAGCACTATGACCTCTTAGCGTGACGTCTTCCCTTCTGTTACTGTGTAAATTTGGTGCGCGTCAGAGGTTTGATCAGCGATTTCTTTAAATGGAGAGTGCTATGACAGTGACGGCAACAAAAACGTCAAAAAACTAATGGGTTCATTGAATAGTCACGGCAACAACTCTGCTAAGACGCGTCTTATTTTAAAACAGCCCTTAACACCTGTTCTTAGAAAAACTTCGTATAAATGACCTTCGCGTCTTAAATAAGACGCGAACGCATAGTACGTATGCGTTAATTTTTGGCGGGAAAATTTTCGCTTGTCCCAGGGCGGACTGGCAGGCTACTGGCAGGGAAAAAGTATTACATATTTCAACGCGTTTTCGTTTCCTTGGGTTGCCATCTATTCTAAGACTTTTAAGCTTTATCCGTTTCTAAATTCGCTCATGTACAATGAGCACGCCGACAAAGGCAAACGAAACACGTGGTCCACCGCTGAAGCCAAGGATTCTTTGTTGTTATGCAAGGAGAGGGCAATAGCAGATCTCGAGGACAAATGTTGGATTGCCGTTGCTACGGGCAACATTCACATGAAAACGAGTCAAGAACAGAAATAAGACTCGAACCATATTTATACGAGCTGTTTTCGTCTAAGATAAGACCTGCTCGTACAAGTGGTACAGTTCGCGTCTTATGTAAGACGCGTCTTATTTTTCCTCGTATAAATGGCCCTAGTATGTGCGGTTACACGGGACATTTTTTTATTTACCATGGTAAATGACCCTTTTATCGTGGGAAATTACCTCGGTGCGTGTGACCGGACTTTCCCGAGATAAATTTACCGTGGGAAATATCCATGGTTACGTCAAAAATAGCAAAGAAACCGCTTATAACATTAAACTTGGTAAAAAGCAAGGGTTTTTCGATACCCAAGGCAAAACAGCCAATCAGATTTCTTCAACATGAAACCCCCCAAAATTGCTTTTTTAAAACGGGTTTCTTTCGCACTGTTGAGAGAAAGATCAATGGTGACATGGCAGATTTCACCTTAAGATGAAAGAAACAAGGAAATTTTGAGGCAAAATTTTGAACTGGTTTGTTGGGATAGATCGAACTGTTGGATGCAGCTGAACTGTAAAATCGAACTATATACCTTCGCTAAATTATCATGAATAACATACCAGTTGAAAATTATAGGTAAATTTTCAACATAACATAAAATACTGCCATTGTCGACAGCGGTTATTACCGTAATTGCGCGAATGAAGCCGTAAACTGAAAGCGGCTTAATTACCTTAATGGCAACTAAACTAAACCCACGTTAAATTTACCACGGCTTCGTTAACGTGGGAAATGCCTTTTACCATGGTTTGTGTATACGCATCTATTACCTGAGGCTTGCAGCACACACTCTGAAGAAAGGTTACCCCAATCCTACGCCCCTAGCGTAACTGCGATTTTTTTCTGTTTCTTATCTGCAGCTGAGCTATGCCGACATCACTTTCTTTGACTTCTTTAACAGCTTCCATGCGAAGGGTAAAGAGGATGTTCCTGGGGAACTTGAGAAGTTCCCGCTCTTGGTTGAGCATTATAAGCGGGTGTTAAACGTGCCCGAAATAAATGAGTGGGTAAAGAAACGCCCTGTAACCGAATTCTAAGCTTGTGGTTGCTGTTGAAGAAATTGTAAAGCGAGAGAAAGGCCTAAAACAAAGATTTTAGGGTGTGCCGTAGTTGAACGACTCCATGCTTCACCGTTGGTTTTAGGTGCAAAGGAATAAAGAAAACTTAAAAGGTTTATTTTTGTATTGATCGAATTTGTTCAATGTACCGATATACCCCGGCCTCAAAGGGAACTCAAAGGGAAACTTGAGTAAAGGTTTTTATATGTGCCGCCGAGACCTTCAAACCCTGACTCTGTTTAAGACAAAAATCATTTCATTTCGCTACCCTGTTTAAGACAAGAGGCCTTATTTCTTGACACGCTGATTCCGCATACAGCAGTAAGTAATTTTTTAAACCCACATCATGGAATTAGATCTTATTGGAAAAAATAGTTCACAGAAGATTGATTTGTGAGAACCAGTACTCTATTTCCATACTATGAAGAGGACGAAGTGAAAAAGGTAAAGTATCACAGCATCTGCCAGAAACGTCATATCTCACTATTGTGTCGCTGCTCGCTAATGCAAGGGAAAGAAAGACTAAGTAAACTAACTGATGCGAATTTGAAATGGTTTAAAGAAACCCTTGAGGGTGTTTTAATCAGAGTAATGATGACATAATCTCTGCCCATGTATGTCGCGTTTGTGACCCTCGTTTGCTTGATCTAAAAACGGGGATGGATATTAGAGGACAGGTCTGAAAAAGGGTTGGAAAAAGACACTTCTTCCGGTCCGTTCTGGCAGCACACCTGCCAAAAGATTTACCGAAAGTAACAGCCGTGAACTGTAGGTTTCTAAATTTTTCAGTGCAGGAGAGAGGTTTCAAAAAGCAATTCTAAACGGTGTATTTAGGATATTAGGCCACTCCAAAATCACTCGCTAAGGAAGTTAATTGATGTAGCAGTTAAATAACGTTCCCGCCAAACGTGTCAAGCGGACAAGCTCCCTCGATCGTTCAACCCTGCAGAGGGGTTAGCGCTCACTTTTGGTAGAAAAAGTGTAGACGCAGTATTTTTGCAACAAAAAGCTTCCTTGACTTATCTACTGATATAGGCAGCAAACTTTTTACCACACTATTTAAACCTATTATTACTGTATAACTCTGAAGTATGGGGTGGGAAAAGTGACAAACTGAACCTGGGTTAATTAATGGGGAACATGACCGTGCGGAAAGGTTACTATATTTTCCAATTCAATTAATACTTTCTTGGTTTAAATAAACGAGCTTCTAATGTTTGCGGTAGATTGATTCAATATCCTAGGCAACTCAGCTGTAAAAACTGTAAGCCTGCTATATTTTTCATGTGGAACATTTGATTCATAATCCTTTCCTCGACGTAAAATTTCCGGCAAATATTTGCTTCAATGGCGCGCACAGTAATTATAGTCTTGAAATAAAAACAGTCTACTTGCTCATGACTATATCAAAATAATTAGCAAATACTGGGAAACAGTCCTCCATCTCTTCCGCAAATCAAATTTGTTCTCAGTTTAACAAAAAAGGATCAAAAGCGACTAAACTCAACAAATAGGTAAATTAGGGATACCGTAAAATTCCGAAAATAAGCCCCTCCATGTATAAGCCCCTCCAAATATAAGCCCCCCAAACCGGTAACGCAAAAAACCCTCCGTTAACTCGCCCCTCCAAATATAAGCCCCCTGGGGGCTTGTTCTTGGAAAATTGCCCTCAAATACAAAGTAAAACAAAGCAAAAACGGCAAATTTCCTTCCAACTATAAGGGTAGCCCAATCGATTTTCAAACGCAAATTTCCCTCCGTAGATAAGCCCCTCCAAAAATAAGCCCCTCAAAAAGGGCCTTTGAAAAATATAAGCCCCGGGGCTTATTTTCGGAATTTTACGGTAACTGACTAAAAATATCATTGAAGTAAAAAGTAAAACCAAACCAATTCCATCCAGCTATCTTTTTCTGAAGAAAGACACTGATACGAAATCTCTTAAACTATCTAAACTCAAACCACCGATGAGCGACGGCAAAATTAAGGACAAATAGTCATGAACTAATAATAGAATATGGAGGATACTGCTCGCCCAAAATACCTGAACATTTTATGTATGATACCTGATGCAAGTATTGTTCTCTAAGTGAAATGGAAGACGGGAAACACTTCATACTCTCTTTATTGCTTCCTTTATCTTAAAGAACGACACTATCTGTTCCATTCTACAGGTAGCAAATATCCTCATTTGAATCACTCTCTGATCTGAACTGATATGATAATCTTTCTCTTTATAGCGGAGCACCACGTGCGCGAAGCGCGCTCGATTGGAGCCATCCATCCGAGAAATATTGGTAATCACGTGTCCACGACCATTACGGAATCGCGCCTGTAGAAACGGGCGTCGCGAGTAAATTCAAATATGTGTCCTATTATTTGTAGGTGGAAATTGGTGAAACATCGTTATTGTTTTGGAGACAATAGAAGAACAAAAGATATCAGAAAGATAAAGGCAGAAAGTTATGCGGTCTTAAAGCGTGTTGCGTGACTTTGATCAGTTTCAGCATTTCTCATAACTTTCCGCATTAAAACGTTGGAATGAAAAGTGTGAACCTTAGCTTATAAAATCTTGATAGCCAAAATAAAAAAGGCGCCTAAAAAGGCAAGTGAAATGTCAAACTTTCTAGAGTGTGGGAGCCTGTAACCTGTGCTAACTTGATAATGGACATACATATTAAGGTCAACTGACAGCTGTCAAAACAAGGAATCCGCTGACCAGTGTCACATGACCGTATCGCAGGCTCAGGTGCCAACTAAACAGGATGAAGACTGATATTGGCCAGTCGAAGTATTGTATAGCTCAGCCTTTTCCACGTTGTTTGATCAGTCTTTGCAGTAGTCTTTTTTAGTTTGTTTCTATTTTTAATAATTATATAACAGGCAACATGTAGGAGAGTTAGATCCGTAATGTAGCCAGTCATATAACTAGAAATTTGCTATGTAATTATCTCTTCTTTTACTTAAATGTAACGAGTATTGTAATCGGCAATGCCATCTATTGGCTCATGCCAGAATGTTGAATCAATTTACCGCCACAAACTTATTCAATTCAACTCCATTTAACTTTTGGCCATTTTCATATGAAAAGATGGGGTTTACCTCGGTGTAAGAACCTGTGAACTTTTTCTTTGTTTCGCACCTTTTGTTTTGCTACGTTCTACATGTATTGTATTGACTTCTTTGTTTCCTCTGTTTTACGTCACTTGTGAGTTTAACAGGTTCTTATATCGAGGATACTCTGCTGATAAATCTATAATCCTGATATATTTTTCAGATGGAATATTTAACTCGCACTCCTTTCCTGTACTAAAATTTCCGGCAAAATATTTGCCTGCACGTACAGTACATTGTAGTACTTCCTTCGAGTGCCCTGTTGCGTGACATGAAATTAACACTTGACAGGTGATATAAAAGGCCAGCAATGAGTTAGCAGTTCATTGAACTTCAGCGGTAGTTGGGTTGAAGTTGTGCATCAACTCAGAGTAAGAATCGACTGAAACATTCTGCAGAAATGTCTGGCTACAAGTTGTTCTACTTTCCAGGCCGCGGTGGAGGAGAAAAATGTCGACTTGCATTCGCGGCTGCAAAGATTGACTACGACGACGTTCGATTGCCATCCGAAGAATGGGCGAAAGAGAAAGCGTGTAAGTAACATAAACGCCAGATTGCTTAAAGCACGCAACGGTTATCTGTCGATTCTTTTTAATTCTGTAATCTTAAATAGCTTTTTAAAACGGAATGCGATCAAAGCCGAGGGCAAATACGCATGCATTCGCTTGATTTTCGATTGGGTTTAAAGATTTTAATGATGTGAGGATCGCGAATGCTGGATTAGTAACTGATTGAACTAAAATTGCTTAGTCACGCTGACAGGTGTGCTCACTCTTCTTAATGGTTACCGCCGACCACAAATGGTATCATTGATTTTGTTATTATTATAAAACCAGGAGAATATTATTTTGAATTGTAAGTTGAAATTATTTACACACAAAGCCAGACTCGTTCCCGGAAAACGAGTAACTTACCCGCCACAGAAGCTATAAGAAATGTAGATTACAGGAGCTCGTCGATTTTAAAAAATTAATGTGACTCTTCTTATTTAAAGACCAGCTTTCTTTCGTAGCAGTTTACGAAACCCAGAAAACGTAAGGTTAATTCAGTGTACATGAAATAGTAATAATAATACTAATACTACTACCACTAATAATAATAATAATAATAATAATATGATAATAATACCAATAATACCAATAATAACAATCATTATGATAATAATATTAATAATAATAATAATTATGAATACTTTACCCGGGTGGTATTGTAACTTTGGACCTTCTGATTGTTTTCGCTTGACATGAACTGAAGGATCAGAATATAACACGGAAACGCCAATCATGTTCTCAATAGGCCCTCCAAGACATTACATTTACAAGTGACGGCCATGATCAAATGTGGGCAAAAATTAAAATTCAAACAAAACCCTAGGGCTTCCAACAAAACCCCCCAAAATCCTTGGACCCAAAACTTCACCCCACAAGAACCAAAAACATCTTGTGTTTTAACGTCACTTAAAATCCGGAGCAACCCTCCCCCCCCCCCCATTTACAGAAGTTCGCAAAAGATGCAGGGGTACCATTGATTAATTGAAAGGGATTCCTTTTCTGTCTAAAATAATTCATGTATGGATGAGGTGTTGGGCCTCAGAGTAGAGCCTCCCCGTATAAGACTTCATTGAATGCTTCTCCCCCCCCTCCTCCTTTCCCCGGGATTTAGCGTAACCAAGATGGCCACTGACCTCTCCTTAGAAAAAACCCTTACGTACTACTACTTTTCTGTTTCAGCTGGTAGACCACCTTTCGGTCAAATGCCCTTCATTGTGACTCCTGAAGGAAAAACCCTGGCACAGTCTGGTACAATTACGAAGTACATCTGCAAAAAAGGAGGTGATGTATTGAACCTAATTTGTTAATCAGCATATTGTTCCTGCCGTAGCCTGCGAGCAAGTTCTCCTTTTCGAGTAGGGAGCGAAGTGAGCTTAGCCTACGTGTAGCCGCACCGTCTCCCCCTTCGTCGGGGGGGGGAGGGCGCGGCTACACGTAGGCTAAAGCGAGCCGCGAGAGACCGCGTGGGCCAGCGGCTCACCCCTCGTGCGCGTCTCCTTTAGTGTGCGGTTCTCGCGTGACTTTTCGCGACTACCCCAAAAGGAGAGCTCGTTCGTGCGGCTACTGCTGGCCCCGTTTGTTCAAACGTTGGATAGCGCTATCCACCGGATAAATCACTATCCGGCGGGTAAGTATTCATGGGGAAACTAATTTCACTATCCACTGGATAGATATTTATCCGGTGGATAGCGCTATCCAGCCTTTAAAAAACTAAGGCCTGCTGATTAGCCTCCCACGCAACCGTTTTTTGGAGCTTCGTTACGCGTTCTTTCCCCAAGGAATTCAAAGCTCTAAGAACGTCTGCATAGGAGGCTACCTGTCGATATAGTTTATAATTTATAAAAGTTTGTTAAGTTTTTTTTTCTCTCCATTTGATTCATTCGATTCATTCATTCATTCATTCATTCATCCATCCATCCATCCATCCGTCCGTCCGTCCGTCCGTCCGTTCGTTCGCTGGCTCGTTCGCTAATTCGCACGTTCGTTCATCATTCTTCCATTCTTTTTCTCTTTCTTCTTTCTTTCTCTCTCTCTCTCTTTTCTTTTTCTTTTTCTCTTATTCCTTGTCTCTGTGTCTTTTTTTCTTCTTTTCATTCTTTCTTTCTATTGGATGATTCCAACTCGCTCTCTATTTTGTTGTTACATTTTTCTTTTATTCCTTAGTTGAACTGTGTTTAGTTGCCTATGTAAATTTAACCTTCATGTCATGAAAAACTGAGCTGAGTTTAATAAATCACCTTGTTTTTTGTCTTTCTTACTGTACTTTTCCTTCTTTTTCTTTCGTTTTTCCTTCTTACTTTTTATTAGTTAAGAAGGCGTATGCTGAATTAGCTTTAATTTTTATTTATGGTGTGATTAGGTTTGTGCCCAGCTGACAGTTTTGATGAAGCGACAGCGGATATGATCAGTGATGGAGTCACTGATTTGTTTCAGCCATTGATCAAGATTTACTATGAGAAAGACGAAACCAAGAAGGTAATGCGAAAGTTAATGTCCGTTTCAATTCCCCGCAGTGTCTGCCAGGCTTTACTCGAAACTGCAAATCAGTCGGTCTCGATCTTTTTCTTAAAATCGATTTCCAAAGCGCTTTTCGCGATATTAGGGAGGTTTAGCAACGAAGTCTAATGAGCTACGCAAGTCAACCGGAAGTTAACTTTTTGCAATGTTAGTTCGTGATTTTTAACAAAGTTTCTAGCAGATCGTCTCTATCAGAAAAAAGACACTGAGCGTTACAAATTTGGTAGCATCGAGGTATATTAAATGGGAAAAGGACTTACTTCCGGTGAAGCTCACTTCCGACTCTCTATTTTCGAGCGATGCGCGTTGACCTCACACGCCCCTAGGGTGTACGTGTGTGGCGAGACTGTCCCCAGTCTCACTCTCCGTTTTCACCCTCACTCCTGGCCTTTCCTTTGACCACTCGTGCGCGCGCTTTCTTAACCTAGGCAAAAATAGGAGTTGTTTTGCAGTCTAGATTTACTCAAGATGCCAGTTCTGACCCTGAGCGCCAGAAAATGCTTAATTTGCTGAGGTGAGAATTGAACAAGGTCTTGAAGGGTATTTTCGGGATTCGGGATTTGACCAAAATAAGGTGCGGGATTCGGGAAAACGCAAAATATCTTGACGGGAAACAAGATTCTAAAGCTACCCTGGAAGCGGAATTCGCCAAAATTTAAGCACGGGATGCGGGATGTTTTTGCCTGTATGTTGTAAATTCGGGAAATCATACGTTTGAGCGGCAAATGCGAATCAACCGGGTGCGTGTTGAGTATTGTCACCTTTCAAACCAAACTATAAAGTGTGCCTTGTTTGTTTGTTTTGAATTCGGGAAAGCGATATTTAAAAAGAATAGCGGGATGCGGGATTTTTTGTTTGTTTTTGTGGGATCAGGACCGCCTTTGTACCGTGATTAACGTAAAATACTTGTCTAAAAAACATGTTTCACATGATTGCATTCGCGTGGCCTGAAAAAGTGTAAAGAAGGCATATAAATTGAAGCCAGGACAGTGTGAGGTATACTTACTACTTCGTTAGTAGTCTCTGTTCTATGAAAACGCTTTAAAGTTCTTTTCAAGTAGTCATTCTAAGAAGAAAATCCGTGCTTTTGGAAGTATTGGCAATAATGGTTTTTCCCAACTGTAAAAGCAGCCTTGTGGCGTTGTCCAACCCCTTACCCGCGTTTAACCATCTTTGATGGAAAAGGTACCCCTTTCGTATACCTTATATTGAAAAATCGTACCCTTTTAACATACCTAGTTAAAACCTTTGCATCCCTTTTAACTGCTGTAATTATATATGAATGCACTGTCTTTGAAAATTGCTAAATCACAAAACCAAAACGTTTTCTCGTTTTTTCACAGCCATAAATTGCATCTGTTTGCCCTTTTGGACCTTTTTACTGCCAAAAATGACATACGTCTCTACCCTTCCATAAACTTTTGTCAACTAGTGAAATCCCTTCCCTTTCATATACCTGAAGCCTGAGAAAAGCACCCCTTTCGGGCGGAGCAGGTCATTATAGGGAGTTTCCCCCCCCCACTGTCCCTAAGTGGAGTCTTCCCATTGCCAGTTCATCCGTATACAGGGAGCTTCGACATGTACTTCTCAGTTTTGTTCCGTGTACAATCCCGTGGGTTTAATCAACTTTTTCCACTTTCCCAGAATTTAGTTTTATTGATGACCTACATTTTGTTTTCCTTAAATGAAGGAAGAGCTGAAAAAAGAGTTCTATGGAACGACGCTTCCTCCCCGACTCGAGAAATTTGAAGCTCTTCTCAAAAACAGGGATGAAGGCAAGGGCTTCTTTCTGGGCGAAAAGGTGAGATACGGGTAATGCGCAAATTAAGCATAGCAAGGGGATTAGGCCTGCTTAGAACACTAACGAGTATAGAGCGTTTTCACTCACGTGGCCAGCAAAACAAAAGAAAGGTTTTACATAAGAAAAGAGTTCAACTTCCACAGGACTGGTTTGGAACACCAGAAACGATCTATAGTAATTAAGTCATAAATAAAACGATGATAGCCTTCAAATTCAGCCATCTGTCATCGTTCTTGCCACTAGGGATGTCTCAAGCGGTGATCGAGAAGCGAGAAGAGATGCCTTTATCTGCAGGCTAAAACGATGACCGCTCCCTGAGCCTTCACCCCGTCCCAAAGAAAGTCTTTTCAAAAAATTTTAAAATATAGCAACGTCGGCACATTTTGCATGGTACTGAGCACCATGACCTCTTAGCGTGACGTCTTCCCTTCTGTTACTGTGTAAATTTGGTGCGCGTCAGAGGTTTGATCAGCGATTTCTTTAAATGGGGAGTGCTATGACAGTGACGACAACAAAAACGTCAAAAAACTAATGGGTTCAGTGAATAGTCACGACAACAACTCTGCTAAGACGCGTCTTATTTTAAAACAGCCCTTAACACCTGTTCTTAGAAAAACTTCGTATAAATGACCTTCGCGTCTTAAATAAGACGCGAACGCATAGTACGTATGCGTTAATTTTTGGCGGGAAAATTTTCGCTTGTCCCAGGGCGGACTGGCAGGCTACTGGCAGGGAAAAAGTATTACATATTTCAACGCGTTTTCGTTTCCTTGGGTTGCCATCTATTCTAAGACTTTTAAGCTTTATCCGTTTCTAAATTCGCTCATGTATAATGAGCACGCCGACAAAGGCAAACGAAACACGTGGTCCACCGCTGAAGAAAAGGATTCTTTGTTGTTATGCAAGGAGAGGGCAATAGCAGATCTCGAGGACAAATGTTGGATTGCCGTTGCTACGGGCAACATTCACATGAAAACGAGTCAAGAACAGAAATAAGACTCGAACCATATTTATACGAGCTGTTTTCGTCTTAGATAAGACCGGTTCGTATAAATGGTAGAGTTCGCGTCTTATGTAAGACGCGTCTTATTTCTCCTCGTATAAATGGCTCTAGTATGTGCGGTTACACGGGACATTTTTTTATTTACCATGGTAAATGACACTTTTACCGTGGGAAATTGCCTCGGTGCGTGTGACCGGACTTTCCCGAGATAAACTTACCGTGAGAAATATCCATGGTTACGTCAAAAATAGCAAAGAAACCGCTTATAACATTAAACTTGGTAAAACGCAAAGGTTTTTCGATACCCAAGGCAAAACAGCCAATCAGATTTCTTCAACATGAAACCCCCAAAAATTGCTTTTTTAAACGGGTTTCTTTGGCACTGTTGAGAGAAAGATCAATGGTGACATGGCAGATTTCACCTTAAGATGAAAGAAACAAGGAAATTTTGAGGCAAAATTTTGAACTGGTTAGTTGGAATAGATCGAACCATTGGATGCAGCTGAACTGTAAAATCGAACTATATACCTTCGCTAAATTATCATGAATAACATACCAGTTGAAAATTATAGGTAAATTTTCAACATAACATAAAATACTGCCATTGTCGACGGCCGTTATTACCGTAATTGCGTGAATGAAGCCGTAAACTGAAAGCGGCTTAATTACCTTAATGGCAACTAAACTAAACCCACGTTGAATTTACCACGGCTTCGTTAACGTGGAAAATGCCTTTTACCATGGTTTGTGTAACCGCATCTATTACCTGAGGCTTGCAGCACACACTCAGAAGAAAGGTTACCCCAATCCTACGCCCCTAGCGTAACTGCGATTTTTTTCTGTTTCTTATCTGCAGCTGAGCTATGCCGACATCACTTTCTTTGACTTCTTTAACAGCTTCCATGCGAAGGGTAAAGAGGATGTTCCTGGGGAACTTGAGAAGTTCCCGCTCTTGGTGGAGCATTATAAGCGGGTGTTAAACGTGCCCGAAATAAATGAGTGGGTAAAGAAACGCCCTGTAACCGAATTCTAAGCTTGTGGTTGCTATTGAAGAAATTGTAAAGCGAGAGAAAGGCCTAAAACAGAGATTTTAGGGTGTGCCGTTGTTGAACGACTCCATGCTTCACCGTTGGTTTTAGGTGCAAAGGAATAAAGAAAACTTAAAAGGTTTATTTTTGTATTGATCGAATTTGTTCAATGTGCCGATATACCCCGGCCTCAAAGGGAACTCAAAGGGAAACTTGAGTAAAGGTTTTTATATGTGCCGTCGAGACCTTCAAACCCTGACTCTGTTTAAGACAAAAATCATTTCATTTCGCTACCCTGTTTAAGACAAGAGGCCTTATTTCTTGACACGCTGATTCCGCATACAGCAGTAAGTAATTTTTTAAACCCACATCATGGAATTAGATCTTATTGGAAAAAATAGTTCACAGAAGATTGATTTGTGAGAACCAGTACTCTATTTCCATACTATGAAGAGGACGAAGTGAAAAAGGTAAAGTATCACAGCATCTGCCATAAACGTCATATCTCACTATAGTGTCGCTGCCCGCTAATGCAAGGGAAAGAAAGAGTAAACTAACTGATGCGAATTTGAAATGGTTTAAAGAAACCCTTGAGGGTGTTTTAATCCGAGTAATGATGACATAATTTCTGCCCATGATGTCGCGTTTGTGACCCTCGTTTGCTTGCTCTAAAAACGGGGATGGATATTAGAGGACAGGTCTGAAAAAGGGTTGGAAAAAGACACTTCTTCTGGTCCGTTCTGGCAGCACACCTGCCAAAAGATTTTCCGAAAGTAACCGCCGGGAACTGTAGGTTTCTAAATTCTTCAGTGCAGGAGAGAGGTTTCAAAAAGCAATTCTAACCGGTATATTTAGGACATTAGGCCAGCTTCAAAATCACTCGCTAAGGTAGTTAATTGATGTAGTAGTTAAATGACGTTTCCGCCAAACGTGTCAAGAGGACAGGTTCCTCCGATCGTTCAACCCTGCAGAGCGGTTAGCGCTCACTTTTGGTAGAAATAGTGTAGACGCATTATTTTTGCAACAAAAAGGTTTCTTGACTTATCTACTGATATAGGCAGCAAACGTTTTACCACACTATTTAAACCTATTATTACTGTATAACTCTGAAGTATGGGGTGGGAAAAGCCCGGGGGGGGGGCACTTGGGTATTTTTTGGGTGGGTATGTGCCGCCCGGGACTCCAAATTGGCACCCCGTTCTAAAAAGAAATTCCCCTAAAATTTATACCCCATTCTAGAAATGGGCCAATTTTTTATACCCCGTTCTAGAATTCGCCCTATAACTGAAACCCCGTTCTAGAAATGGGCCAATTTTTTATAAAAAGATATTTCTTTACTTGTTTGACTTATACATCAAATAAATGCTTTTTCATAATCAGCAACAATTTTAAGCAGAAGATAAAGCCGTGATCCACAATTTTTTATACCCCGTTCTAGAAAACGCCTCTGAAATGGATACCCCGTTCTAAATCAGGAGCTTCAAAATCACGACCCCGTTGAGCGGCACATACCTGTATAGGTAATGTATGGGAGTACCCAGGGGAAAAGTGACAAACTGAAGTGAATTAATAAAAACATGACCCTCCTGAAAGGCTACTATATTCTCCCAATTCCAGAAAGACTTTCTTAGTTTAAATAAACGAGCTTCTGATGTTTGCGGTAGATTGATTCAATATCCTTGGCAACTCAGCTGAAAAAACTGTAAGCCTGATGTATTTTTCATGCGGAATATTTAATTCGTAATCCTTTCCACTCCGTGAAATTTCCGGCAAAATATTTGCTTTAATGGCGCGCACAGTAATTATAGTCTTGAAATAAAAACAGTCTACTTGCTCATGACTATATCAAAAGAATTAGCAAGTACTGGGAAACACTCCTCCATCTCTTCCGCAAATCAAATTTGTTCTCAGTTTAACAAAAACGGATCAAAAACGACTAAACTCAACAAATAGGTAAATTAGAGATAACTGACTAAAAATATCATTCAAATAAAAAGTAAAACTAAATCAATCAGCCATCCAACTATCTTTTCCTGAAGAAAGACACTGATAAGAAATCTCTTAAACTATCTAAACTCAAACCACCGACAAGCAACGGCAAAATTAAGGACAAGTAGTCATGAACTAATAATAGAATATGGAGGATACTGCTCGCCCAAAATACCTGAACATTTTATGTATGATAACTGATGCAAGTATTGTTCTCTAAGTGAAATGGAAGACGGGAAACACTTCATACTCTCTTTATGGCTTCCTTTATCTTAAAGAACGACACTGTCCGTTGTATTCTACAGGCAACAAATATCCTCATTTGAATCACTCTCTGATCTGAACTGATATGATAACCTTTCTATTAATAGCGGAGCTCCACGTGCGCGCGCTTTGCGCACGCTATTGGAGCCATCCATCCGAGAAATTTTGGTAATCACGTGACCGTACAGCCGTTCTAACCAGAGGGAAAGCAAAATGAAATGTCAAACTTTCTAGAGTGTGGGAGCCTGTAGTCTGTATTTAACTTGACAATGAACATCCATTTTAAGAACAACTGACAGCTGTCAAAAAAAGGGTATCGGCTCACCAGTGTCAAATGACCGTATCGCATGCTCAGGTGCCAACTAAACAGGATGAAGACTGGTATTGGCCAGTACAAAGTATTGTATACCTCAGGCTTTTCCACATTGTTTGATCAGTCTTGGCAGTAGTCTTTTTGACTTTAATTCTATTTTTAATAATAACAGGCAACATGTAGCAGAAGTAGATCATATAGATCATGTAGATCATATAACTAGAAATTTGCTATGTAATTATCTCTTCTTTTACGGGTGACGGAGTACTGTAATCAGCAATGTCATCTATTGGCTCATCCTAGGTGTTAGAACCCTGTTAAACTCACAAGTGACGTAAAACAGAGGAAACAAAGAAGTCAACACAATAGAGCGTAGAAAAACAAAAGGTGCGAAACAAAGAAAAGTTCACAGGTTCTTATACCGAGGTAAACCCCATCTATTCATATGAAAATGGCCAAAAGTTTAATTGAATTGAATTGAATTAGTTTGTGGCGGTAAATTGATTCAACATTTTGGCAACTCAGCTGATAAATCTATAATCCTGATATATTTTTTCACTCCTTTCCTCTACTAAAATTTACGGCAAAATATTTTCCTGCACATACAGTCCTTCGATTGGCCTGTTGCGTGACATGACACGACATAATTCTAATTTTAACACTTGACCGGTGATATAAAAGGTCAGCAATGAGTTAGCAGTTCATTGAACTTCAGCGGCAGTTGTGTTGTGCATCCACTCACAGTAAGAATCGACTGAAACATTCTGCAGAAATGTCTGGTTACAAGTTGTTCTACTTTCCGGGCCGCGTTGGAGGAGAAAAATGTCGACTTGCATTTGCGGCTGCAAAGATTGACTACGAGGACAATCGATTGGCAGACGAAGAATGGGCAAAAGAGAAAGCGTGTAAGTAACATAAACGTTCACCAGATTGCTTAAAAAGCGCGCGACGGTTATCTGTCGATTCTTTTTAATTCTATGATCTTAAATAGCTGTTTAAAACGGAATGCGATCAAAGCCGACGGCAAATACGCGTACATTCGCTTGATTTTCGATTGGGTTTAAAGATTTTAATGATGTGCGCTTCGCGAATGCTGGATTGGTAACTGATTGAACTAAAATTGCTTAGTCAGGCTGACAACTGTGCTCACTCTTTTTAATGGTTTCCGCCGACCACAAGTAGTATCATTGATTTTTTTATTATTATTATTATTATTATTATCATTATTAATCACTCTGACAAGTGTGCTCACTCTTTTTAATGGTTTCCGCCGACCACAAGTGGTATCATTGATTTTATTATTATTATTATTAATCACGCTGACAAGTGTGCTCACTCTTTTTAATGGTTTCCGCCAACCACAAGTGGTATCATTGATTTTATTATTATTAATATTAGTCGCGCTGACAAGTGTGCTCACTCTTTTTAATGGTTTCCGCCGACCACAAGTGGATTCATTGGTTTTATTGTTATTATTGTTGTTATTATTATTATTATTATTATTATTATTATTATTATTATTATTATTATTATTATTAACCCTACGTTTTTTAGGTTTCGTAGACTGCTACGAAAGGAAGTTGGTCTTTAAGTAATAAGAGATACATTTTTTAAATCGACGAGCTCCTGTAATCTACATTTCTTATAGTTTCTGTGGCGGGAAAGTTACTCGTTTTCCGGGAAGGAGCCTGGCTTTGTATGTAAAATAATTTCAAATTACAATTCAAATATTCTCCTGGTTTTTTAATACTTTACCCGGTTGGTATTGTAACTTTGAACCTTCTGATTGTATTCTCATCGCATGAACTGAACGATCAGAATATAACGCGGAAACGCCAATTTTGTTCTCAATAGGCCCTCCAAGAAATTACATTTTCAAGTGACGGCGATGATCGAATGGCGGCAAAAATTAAAACTCAAAGAAATCCGTAGGGCTTCCAACAAAACCCTCAAAAATCCCTGGACCCAAAACTTAACCCCTCCAAGAACCAAGAACATCTTCTGTTTTAACAGTGACATATTGTACAGAAAAACAACTTCAGATAGTTTTGAACACCCCTTAAAATCCATACTTAAATCAAGCCACCCAAAAAACTACTTGCTAATTTCAGGAGCGCATGCCAAATTGGCTTTCTCAAAAAATCCCAGAATCAAAAATCTCAACCCCCCCAAAATTCCTTCGATCACCCCCGCCACTTAAAATCAGGAGTACCCCCCTCCTCCCCGCCCGAACGTTCAACGCTTTCCTTCCTCGATGTGGGCGCTTTTGTAGCGAAGGAACT